ATGTATAGATGAAATTGTTTTAGGGTCATGATATACCCTGTTTGTGTTTGTAATAAGGAAATCTTGTGTCTAGTAACAGTCAATATTTTTTCTGTACATGTAATGCCTGGAACAAGTGGGATGGTTGGACAGAAGGACATGTATAATTTGCTAATTCCCATATACATGCACTAAGGTATAAGAAGTCAATATGAATTATACATGTATGTGATGATTTTCTCAAAATCAAGTGATGAGTAATTTAGGGGTACGGATTGCCAAATTTAACGTCCCTTAGAGAATTTTCACTCGTATTGAGATGCCACCACCTGCCGGTGGAGGCCTGTACTCGGCACCTAGGGCTTTTGAGCAGTGAGGGATCTTTTTTTGTGACAGCACCTACTGTGACACGGGACCTCATGACACGGGACCTCAGTTTCTCCTGTCTCATTCGAAGGACTGGTCTTCACGTCCCGCAGTGGGATTCGAACCCGCGACGTAAGGAAAAACTCGAGAGCAAACACTCTAACCACTGTGCCACGCGGGCGACGATTGCCTAATATGAAGTGAAGATTTCCTATATTTTCTTCAAAAAAGGTTAAAGTTGAAGAAAACATTCACGCCTACTAGTATAGATTAAAATGAATAGCCCCTATCCTACAATTTCAAAGAAATTCATATACAAATTAACAGTAAATACGAGGATTGTCCGGTAAAATCGCGGATAGTCGTCAAGAGTGAAAAATAATCAACACTGCATCCTAAAAATTTCACTAAACTACTCATTTTGTATTTCTTACAAATATACATTGACTTTTGCCTCCAAATTTTTTAATTACAAAAAAAAAAAAAAAAAAAAAAAAAAAAAACAAAAAAAAACAAAACAACAACAAACAAACAACTCAAGAGTGCCTTGATATCGAAAGTCTGAAACACAATCCTCCAACGTGTTCATGTTCTTCGCCCAACAACTATAGTTTAGTTGGACACATCATTACTGGTGACGTAAATATAGTTAATAATGAGGACCTTAAATCACTTATTTTAAAAGGGTCAAATTTTCGGGAGCCCCGATCTTTCAACTGGCATCATAATTATACAAATATGATGAATTCTGTGGAAGATTTCGCAAGGCGATGGCCAAACCTTGGCACTTTGTCAGAATGGATTAAAAGTATCAGATGGATGTTGATATTGCATTAAGCGATTGAGGGGCAATATGAAAACCATCTATCCTTCTGCCTTCAAAAATTCCTACGTTTAAATGTAATTTAGAGGAGCTTGGATTTAAATATGTGGTAATCCAGCTTATAATCATAGCTCCCTTAGAATGAAATTCTTCAAAATCATGTCAGTTTTAAATATTTTTAATATTCCCAACAATCAAAATGAATTTGAATTACCATACCTGTACTGGATTCCTAAACTTCATAAAAGTTATTACAAAGATATATAGCGGATATTCTAGTAAATGTTCTACCAAGCCTTTTATTCCTCACAATATTAACAACAGTGAAGTAGAAACTTCATGAGTTCTGTACAACAATAATTCGAGAAAAGGTGTAAATCAGATGTGGATATTTAAAAACTCCAAAGAAGTTTTAGAAAATTTGAAATCACAAAATTTTACCAAAATCAATAACATCAAAACGTACGACTTTTCAATACTTACTAGTATAGTATACAGTATACAACCAATTTTAACTATAAATTAAAGTATAAGCTTTTTTTGACATCATAGACAGCTGCTTTTTCAATAAAAATGGAACTCATGAACTTACTTATCTTGTCACTGGTCATTTGCAAAATTGATTTGCTAAAACATTCTGATTGTACACACAAGTACTCTGAAGTTGATATTAAAAAGATGCTTGAGTTTCTGATTGACAATATCTATGTATTTTTTTCATGAGGTCTTTCAACAATCTGTCGGAATTCCCATGGGTACCGATTGCACCCTGTTATCAGCAGACAAGTTTTTTGTATTCATATGAAGCAGAATTCATTCAAAATTTTATACATGAGAAGAAGACACTTACTGTGGCCTTCAACTCATCATTTAGATATATTGATGACGTATTATCAATAAACAATAGTTACTTCCATTCATATGTCGACTCGATATATCCCAGTGAACTTGAAATAAAAGATACCACGGAGTCTGACACATCTGCTTCATATTTTGATATTTTACAAAAGAAGACATTAATGTAATCTGACAATAAAACTTTATGATAAGCGTGATGACTTCTATCGTCAACTTCCCTATGTAGCAATGTACCCTTATCACATGTATATGGGGTTTATACATGCATCTCCCAGTTTATTCGATACGCAAGAGCATACTCCACGTATGAATAATTACTAAAACGAGGCAAGCTATCGACAAATGAGTTGATGAAACTATGATATCAACAGTCTCGTTTAAAGTAATCATTTCGCAAGTTCTATGGTCGATACAAGTACGTTGTTAGCAAATACAATCTATTATTAAATAGATTGTTGACAGACGTTTTTCATACTATTTGTTTGGCCATTATATAATCACTGAATTGTCTACGGAATTTTCCGTTTGCCCGGTCATGACAAAGAGCACACGGCGGGAATGACCGCTCGACAGGGAATGCTTACTTCTCCATGACATCTGATCCCACCTCCAATGTTTTTAGAGGTCCGTGTTTGCTCTGCTCCCGATTTGTATTGTTTCAATGGACTTTTGAGCTTGATTACTGTTCGTTATCTCCATATTTCATTCAGTACATTTTTCATCAATATACATAGCGAATTTCAAATGAATAGAATCTCAAATAAACAAAATACGGGATCTATATGTTATGTGTGGTATCGCCTTACTGCGCACGGATGTTGACGTCAAAGTGTCTTGAGCAACGTTGTTAGAATAACTTTTTCTGAATTTTCTTTGGATTTGAGGTATGTGTCTGAGTGAACGATGACTTCAAAGTTTTGAGAAATAAAAAAAAAAAAAACTAGTACATGTATATGAAATACCAAATTGTTAATTGATAACTATTTAAATGTGATGAGGATCGTTACGACATGGGTCCAGAACGACCTTGGTGATATGTCCTTAGGTCACCCAAAGCCAACTAACTTTAGATTCATAGGAATTGTATACTGTGTGATCATTTATGGTTTAGAGGTTGAAGAAGTCTTGCCTCGGTTGAATGAGCAATAGCAAAGACATTGGCTATCTATGTTCTTCCAAAATTATGCAGGGAACATAAAAAATCTGTCTATGCAAAATACATGTAACTCTTTATTAATGTTTGGAAAAAATAAATATATACACTTGAAACACATTCATTTGGAAAAGACACGGATCATAGACTCAAATTGTCTAGTCCACACTGATGAAAATTGAATACACGTATCTGGAAACAAATCCTCTATGTTATGGACCTCGGAAATTAAGGAGTCGCTGCATTGGCATCATTAGCAGGTTTTTCTTTCTCTATTTCTTTGTTTTCTGTCGTATTTTCAGTAGACTCGTCATTAACTGGGGCCGTTTTAGGGCTTATGGCTCCCTTAATTATGAAGGCAGCTGCCACAGAATATGTCACTGTGGCCAAAAAAGAAAACACTAATGCTACAATTCCCATGTTAGCGGTTTTACCTAGTGCCATTCCAGATACAAGTTCACCATTAAGCATGACCAGAGCCACTAGTAACATGAGACCTGAAATTCAAAAAGATTTAATATTTATCTTACATTTGCAAATGGTTTGTCGATAACCATGCCATTAAATGGTTTTGTACATGTGTATGAGGTGACGTTTTGGTATTTATTGCAAATAAATGATATCACCAATTTAAACAAGTGATATCACTCATTCAAATTGAATATGTGATATCACCCCCAAGGTCAAGGTCAAAGGGTCAAAATTGTTTGTACCCAAGGGAAGGTCTTGTCACAAGAAATACACCTGTAAAATATAAAAGCTCTAACACCAACTGTTCAAAAGTTATGGCCAAGATATCACCTATTCGAAAAAATGATACCACTTATTCGAATAGGTAATGACATCTATTCGAAATAAATAGGTGAAATCACCTAGTTAAATAGGTGATAACACCTTTTCAAGTTGAATAGGTGATATCAACTATTCGTTTTGAATTGATACCCTTCAAAGTATGCAGTTTTGGTTGCCATTTCGTCAGAGAACACAGAAAGACCAAAGGAAGGATTACTGGTTCTGTGAGATATGCATGTATGTAGCTATATATTATCAAGTTTGATCCAAAGGAAGGGCTATAGAAACATTGGGGTGATAAGGGATTTCAGTTATAAGTAAAGAAAAACTGTACAACAACAACAACAACAAGAAACAGATTTAGATAGAACTAATTTTGACTATATTCTACACATCACGGGCACCATTTACGGAAGTTTTTCACATAATTAATTCATATGTTGTCCACAGCAATGGATACCAATAACTGTATTTGACCTTTGATCTGTTGGCCCTCCAATCAATGGGGTTTTCCTCTGCACAACGTATCATTGAAGAAAGATTGAATCAAAGAATCCAAACGAATCTCTTTAATTTGTGTCCACAACTTCACATTTCACACCTATCACTGTATCAATGTCACTGACCTTGAGATTTTGACTCAGGAATCGAAATGCTTCTTTCTCAGATCATTAATTTCTGTAGCATGTATTAGGCGGAAAGGTCAATACTTGGACATACACTAATTTTAATATTATATGAACAACTTCTTTTACACCTATCAGAATCTTCGACCTTTGACAATTTAACCTTTTTATTAGACCTGTTTCTGAAGTACAACACTGGCAGACTCGTACGGTATCTTTGACCTTGACCTTTGGATCCTTAAATGAATAGTCACTTATACAAAACCCTATAGCAAGTTTGAGACCATTGTCACATCATCGAAAAGAATGCCCTTACATTAATTGCCTTTTCCATTTGATCCTAAACTAAATAGCCTTGTACCAGTTACCTACAACATTTATAACAAGCTTGATATCGAAGGGCCAAAATATACCCCATAAATAAACTTTTTCCATAACACTGCTACACATTCGGGGGAACTAATTTATCTCCTACGTTGCACTATTTACATTGTGGAAATTAAAATTCTCACGTATATATTAATTGTACTTACTTGAAATGAAAGCAATTACTCCTGGCGTGAGGGACACGAAGCAGACAGGCTTGGGAAGCTTTTTCAGAAGGTGAAGTACAAGAATGGGTATTCCGCTAATAAAGGCGAGGCCAAGGAAGACTCCGGCCACTTGACCAACAGACTGGATCATCTTAACTGTATCTAAAATAAAAATTTTTACAAAAAAGTCAATTAAAGTCAGATGACACATTCCTCAATAATATATATTTCTATTTTCAATATAATCCTAATGGAAATCATTTATACCTATAGCTCCCTTTTTAAGGAGGAAATTCTTCAAAATCATTTGTCAGTTTTAAATATCTTAAATAATCCCAACAATCAAATTGAATTCGAATTTTCATACTTATAGTGGATTCCATGGCACCTGATCCCGTCTCTGATGTTTTCTCTACTCTCGATTTGTATTGTTAAAATGGACTATGAGCTTGAATACTGTTCGTTATCTCCATATTTCATCTACATAAAAATCCTTACTGACAAAGATACATAGGGGGTTCCAGTAAATGTTCTACCAAGCCTCTTTCTTTACTCCTCATAAAAATAGCGGCAGTGAAGGAGAAATTTCAGGAGTACTGGACAACAATACTTGAGAAATAGTGTAAATCAGATGTAGATACTTAAAAACTCAAAGGAACTTTGGGAAAATTTGAAATCACAAAATTTTATGAAAATCAATAACATCAGAACGTACGAATTTTCAACACTTTATACAACCATTGCCCATGATAAATGAAAGTCCAGGCTTTTTGACATCATAGACAGGTGCTTTTTCAATAAAAAATGGAAGTCGTAAATTTACTTATCTTGTAATTAGTTATTTGCAAAATTATTTTGTATAAAAATTCTGATTGTATTCACAAGTACTCCGAAGTTGATATTAAAAGATGCTTGGTTTTCTGATTGACAATGTCTATGTAGTTTTCTGGAGATCAAGTCTTCAAACAATCTATCGGAATTCACATGGGCAACAATTCGCCTTTTTATTGACAGACCTATTTTTATATTCATATGAAGCAACACTTATTCGAAAAACTTCTGCATGAGAAAAAGAAAACACTTGGTTTGGCCTCCAACTCGACATTTAGATTTATCAACGAGGTATTATCAATTCACAATTAATAGTTACTTCCATTCATATGTCGACTGGATAGAATTTTTTCCCATATCAGACACAAGAAATGTAAACTTCTTCAGATTGTGTATAGTCTCTTAGAAAACAGCAATGCATATGTTTTTGACCTCTTCTTTAAAATAATATTAAATTGAATATAGGTATCGGGTTTACTTTTGACATGATTTCATATAGAATTCCATGAAAATGATTCATTTTCTACATAATTCAATGATAACCGTAAAGCACGGGAAATAAATTAAATTAAATAATAACCTCTTAATGGATGTAGCACCAAGAAACAGTATCTAAAGCTAATTTACAAGATCTTGATTATATATTACTTCAAGTTTGACTATTACAATACAATTAAGGAATCACTGGTCGGCTCATAATTTTTATTGACCTAATGTACATATAACGATTATCAAAAGAGAATTTTTTTCTAATTGGAACATTATTCTGGTCCGAAACATTTTTTTAAATATTTCATTTTTCAAATCTGATTATTAAATGAGAACCTTTAAACCTGCACTAACTCTTTCAGTATAACATAAAGCAGAACATGTTAGGAATTTTAGTAAATTTTGAAACATCCGCTGCTATTAATGGGAATCAGTAAAAATTCGCGATGGCACACCTTCCAATCTGTGTTTTTGTTTAGCAGGAAAAAGTGAAAATGATCATCAAATTGAGCTTAATATCATTTATAGCTAAAATCATAGCTATTACCTCACTGGATAAATATAGGACAGTTGTTATGAGAACATGAGTTACGAAGCACGAAGTTTTAAAACTACAGTAAAACAAATACAACCAAAGCGTCTTATTAGCTATGGCAATGTGTTAGAAGCTCATTGCCTATTTATAGATGGAGCTATTGAAACCCAACATAAGATATTTTAGCTGCACAAATGAATTTGCACATTGCTGTTGGCTATTTAATGCTGACCAGTAAATGACTGAGAATTTCTTGAAAAATGGAGCTACGGTATCTCAATCTGCCGTTGATTTTATTGTCGGTGAAACCTAAAATTTTGACCTCTGCTTTGAACTGCGGAATTAACCCTTCTAAAATGTGCTCCACTTTATTCTGGCAGACTTGTTGCAAAGGAAAAAAGATGATCACTGATCTCCAGTAAATAATGTAAATATACAGTTTCAATAGAAATTCAATAAAGCAACCTTTCCAAAAAGAACTCTGTAGTAAACTGTTTTGGTACATGTATGTTCATCGTTGAAAGAATTTAAAATACAACTTTGAAATCAGATTAGGTGAACGTGGATGTAAATGTATGTCTGTCGATTATATTGATAATATAACTTATTTAGTTTTCTTATTTAGGTAGTTAAACCTGTTAAAATGTTTTCATTTACTATTATGTGTCTTGTTTTCTATTTTCATTTAACGAAGATCTTGAACTTTTGACAACTTGTAATCTTTAAAAAAGTGTGGCATCCCTAATCCACAAAAAGAGCTTAACATAGTTTTATATTTGATAAACTAGTTTAATTTTCGTAAATTAAAGTTGACATGCCTAACCTACATATGGATTGTTATTTCCTTTCGTTCTTTATAACTAGTTTGTGAAAACTATATAATTGAAAAAAAAATGCTAAATGAAAATTTATTAGTATCTGAACAAAAGGTTGATATGGCATGCAAAATTCACAAAAATCAACCAAACCACGTTTTACAGTCGATATGTTAACCTCTTGCAAGCTTATTAAAGACGTTTTTGATTTAACATGATAGTTCACGTATGAATGATAGTTCACGCATCAATTTGTGTTTCAAGTGTAAACTATACTTAACAGTAATAAGACATTGCTTTCAAGTGCAAAACATGGTTTATCTGCTAAGAACAGTTTCACCATTAGTAAAGTATCGTTAACAACTCTAAACTTTAATTAACGAATGTGTGAATTAAATACACATGTAGTTTCACGATTAGTGAAACTATCATTAACATTTTCAACTATGTTTAATGAATAAGAATTAATGTTCACATCTGAAGATTTATATTTATCAACCAAAACAATTATTAACGTTTATTCATAGGCAGATAAAAAATAGTTAGCATTCGTAATGTATGGTTTACAACACTTATATAGATATACAATGTAGTTTTACAGATGATAACAAATCGTTAACTGTATAAAATATTTTATAAACATGAGTTTGATGAATCTAGTCTATAAACTCTAAACTATGTTAAGCTCATTTCTGTTAATTTGGCGTGCCAAAAATTGAGGAAATATATACCCTGTATGTATTGTTGCTTGAAAAAATAAAACAAGCATTCGTAATAACTATTTTATTAATAATAGTTAATTAATAATAGTTATAGATAAATTATTTTTTTTATAAATTAACAAATTAAGATATAAATTTGGTCAGAGATATAAACCATACTTGGCATTAAATTTACAAACAAGATTGAATATTTGTAGACTTCGATTCACCCAGAACTGTTAAAAATAGTTCATGGATAGAAAGAGCTAAAGATCATAATTTCTCAGTGGATATATGTACAACTCACCAAATCCACACAAACGAGTGATACATAGTTTTTTTGAATTTGAAATTCCAGGGTTTCCCTTAAGTAACGAAATATATTGATAACATTTTGCATGAACAATTATGGCTTTAAAGCGTGAAATAAAATTTTTACGTAATTGGGTGGCGCCAATGCAAAACTACGATTCCTTAAACTGATTATGTAAAACATAAAAACACTGTTAATCAATATGTCTCGAGAAATTGGCGTTCTACAGTATAGAATTGTTTAATTTATTAATTTAATGAGTTGCGAATCTTTGTTAATAAATCGTAAAATTAACTATATTTATAAGATAAACCATTTTTTGCACGAATTTAACAGTAGAATATACCGGTAGTTTACCATTGTTAAGCAGAGGACACAAACTAGTTTACAGATCTTGAATAAAGATTAACTTCGTTAATTTAAGATCATCCCCACTATAACTGATAACCTAGCATATAAATGTTAATTTTTTTTTGGCATGTCATATGCAAGATATCCAACCTTTTTAATGAATTTTTTTCCGACTTTTTTTTTCTTCGATTTTTCACTTTTTAGGAGTAAGCATCAATTGTCAACTGCTAACACCCACCGTGAGCCCTTTGTATTGATCAGGTAAAGGAGTAAACAAAGTAGACATTAATATAAACAATGGCCTAACGATGGGTATGAACCATGTCAGTCAAAATACGACCCAACGTATTTGCAAACGAGGTTGTTGCAACCACTATTGAAATAACGTTCACAATTGAAATAATTATTTCAGTAGTGGTTGAGAGTGCATTTCAAAACTAAACATAGATTGCAACCACTATTGAAATAACGTTCACTATTGAAATAATTATTTCAATAGTGGTTGAACGGGCATTTCAAAACCCAACACAGGTTGCAACCACTATTGAAATAACGTTAACTATTGAAACACTAATTTCAATAGAGGCTTTGAATGCATTTTAAAACCTAAACCAGGCTGCAACCACTATTGAAATAATGTTCACTATTGAAATAAAGATTTCTCTAGTGATTGAAATAAAGATTTCAATAGTGATTGAAATAAAGATTTCAATAGTGATTGAAATAATGATTTAAAAGTTGCTGACAATGATTGATTTCAATACCCAAACCACATTGCAAGCCTTATTGAAATAACCCCCTCTTGAAAGAAAAATATATAAAGATAAATTCTTCATTATTTTTCCAAACATAATGAATTAATTTATTTAGTTTAAAATATGATATGCAATTCTATGTTTTAATTTCTGTCTAGAAATACTATTAATACACGGATATCTTTTTAAGTGATCTAGTAATTTTAAATAATTTTGTCATATAAGGTTCATCATTGCTATTAATTGCGGAAAGTAAAAGTTTATAAAAACAGATAGTTTTAGAAATTAGAATATCTATATTTTATAAAAAAGAAGAAGAAATCTATGTGACATCTATGCGTAAAAACTTTCTGATGAAAATATGATTATTTTTAATCAATAGGAAATAGAATAAAAGTAAATTCTCGCTTATATATACATTAAAATCAACTATTCGGGAAGACTAAGTATAAGCATTATAACATAAGAGGTTGTTATTTCAATAGTGGTTACACGTATAAAACCGTTGTTGAAATAATATCAACTATTGAAATTACTATTTCAGTAGTGATCACTATTTCAATAGAGTGTACTTTGTTGCAACCACTATTGAAATAGTGACTATTGAAAAAATATTTCAATAGCATATATTATTTCAATATCGGTAGTATTAATGCAACCGATATTGAAATAACGATCACTAATTAAATAATGATTTCAATGGTGGTCATTATTTTAATAGCTGTTCTATATGTGTGACCACTATTGGAATAACACCCACTATTGTAATGCATGTTATGCTTATACAAAAGTCCCGTTAAGTTTTGTTTTTTTTAATGTCTTGAGGAGTAGACGTTGGATTTACTATCAATATTTGTAGTGTAGGCAAGCCCATGAACATATGCGAGAATTTACCTCCATTGAATATTCTTTTTATTAAAAATAACCATATTTTCATCTGAAAGTCTGTGCACATAGATGTCAGTCTTCCTTTTAATGTAGATATTCTAATTTCTACAATTATGTTTATTTATGGTCCTTTCCTTTAAAATCAATGGAAAAGATGAACAATATTTACCAAAATCACATAAAACCTGCATATACTGATTGATTGTCTGTTAGTTTTTGCCGAGTCGGCAAGATTTAGCGAAAGCTTGCATATAACATTTGCATGCTTTGTTTGAATTTAAGGTACGTCAGTTAAATCAAAAATGTCCGTGTATTAATTGTAATTTATAGAAAAGAAAGGACTACATAAATTTACACGTCATATTTTAAACTCAATAAATATTAAATATTATGTTGGAAAACGTAATGAACAATTTATCCTTATATTTTTTGCAATAGTGGGTTTATTTCAGTAAAGCTTGTAATGTGGTTTTGGTATTGAAATTATTGCCAGCAACTATCAAAATAATTATTTCAATCACTATTGAAATCTTTATTTCAATCACTAGTGAAATCTTTATTTCAATAGTGAACATTAATAGTGGTAGCAACCTGGTTTAGGTTTTGAAATGCATTCAAAACCTCTATTGAAATCATTGTTTCACTAGTGAACGTTATTTCAATAGTGGTTGCAATCTGTGTTCGGTTTTGAAATGCATTTTCAACCACTATTAAAATAATTATTTCAATAGTGAACGTTATTTCAATAGTGGTTGCAATCTGTGTTTAGTTTTGAAATGCACTCTCAACCGCTATTGAAATAATTATTTCAATAGTGAACGTTATTTCAATAGTGGTTACAACCTGTGTTTGGTTTTGAAATGCACTCTCAACTATTGAAATAATTATTTCAATAGTGAACGTTATTTCAATAGTGGTTGCAACACGAGGTAATTACAACGACGAAAAAAATTGCGAAATGCTGACTTTAAATGAGATAGTTGAAAGCCTTATAACATTTACTCATTTGTCAGTAGCCTGCATTGGTTTAAAATTGATTTTGCTCTGAGCATGCTCTTGCGCACTGAATCAACTGGTAGATAAACACCATATGCAGGTGACGGTGGAATGATACTGCATAAATAAGGGAAGTTGACGATAGAAAGGCTGAAGTCGTTAGCTGTTAGTTGGCCATGAACGTTTATATGTACATCTTTCGTATATTTGAAGTTTTCCTTCCATTTTTGTTCATTTGATTTAGTTTAGTTACGCGTTAGGGAATCAATGAAATTTGATTATTTCCTTCTGCTGTTTTGTATTTGGCATTTTCTAGACTTTCAAATTTCTTGCAGTGGGCTATTTGTAGTTTTTAGTAAAGGTTGCAGTTGTACTTAACGTTAGAACCTTTCCTCTGGAATGAATTTTACTTTTATCCTATTTCTTATGACAACCTTGAATTTTTTGTATTTTCATTTGATTTGTCTATTGATCTATGAAATTAATTTGGTATTTCTCGTATTTCTAATTCTGTCCATGAGTTTTTCTTAAGGTCTATTCAAGATACATATAGTACGTAGATGTATTTATTTTTATGCTCTGTTTTGTTAATGGCCATGTTCGACAGGATAACTAATTTTTAATCTGATAATTTTAGTTTACAGTACCACAGAAAAATGATTTTTTTAAGAAGGCTGTCTTTCGGTCATTTGGAATTTTTTTTGTATTTTTTCAATTATTTTTACTTTTGGTATCGCTTCAATGTCATATATTTTTCAATGAAATTCCACATTTTTTTTTTAATTTTAGTTCAAAATTAAGTTTTTGGTAGCTGAAAATTTGTGATTTTTCAATTTATTTGTAATATAAGTGCCTCAAAGAGAATGTAAATATATGGCTATATTTATTCTTATATTTTATTTGTCCTCTAATCTGAGTTTTCAGTTTCTCTGAAATTTTATTTCTCTGCCTTCAACTTTAAGCATTTTATTCTTTCATTTCTTATCTTAGTGTTAGCATTGCTAGTTTCCTTTAACCAAGTATTTAAAATATATAGTATACAGCTGTGGCTAAATTAGGTTTTATCTGGTAAGAGATTTTTATATTTCTGACGTTGCTTATTTTGCGTCTAGCTTGATCTTGTTCAGCTAGTTTTTCTGAATCCCATTTTGTTTTCTTCTAGTTTTACTGAATGTTTCTTTGGTTTATTTTTATGGATTTCTTAGAATTATGGAAATTCTCACTTTTGCAGTTGATTCCTTTTTTTTTTAAGAAATAACCATTTTCCTTTGAGTATTTTTTCTGACTAAATTTAAATGATCTTCAGATTAAAATACCCATATTTGTGTGAACATTAAAATACGATTCAATTCAGGAAAAGAGATTGGAAGTAGGGATGTCAGTTTGTAATCGGTTAACCGCTTACTTCGGAACGTTGGTAATCGATTAAAAAATCTGTAACCGGTTAGTCGAAAAAAAAATTATATATGTGTAAATTTGAACACAATATCCTGAAAATTCAATCAAAAAATAAAAATATATGAAATATTAGCATTTTCACCTATCTATTTCTTAGGCTGGTCTGGAGATAATTAAGACTCTCCAAATTAACATCGTGGGGGGTAATTAGTCAGCTTTCGAGATGTTAATTGCAGTTTAAACACCATGTCGCTACCCAGCCCGGTCCCGTGTTTCTTTAATGATTGATTCAATTGAATGATCGCTGAGTACCGTGAAGTGATTATAATGTGTACCTTACCCCTTTTATCTTTTGCAGCTACAAATCAAATTATGTTATTAAACAAACATTGTAAATTAAGCGATAGTTCAGACTTAATTTTGATTATGTGAAAATGCAGATTGAAATTGTAAGACATCTATTCTGAATTTTTTAAAATACATGTATATCTGATTCTTCAGGCATGTTTCATAGGTTTCTTAATTTTTTTTCTTTTTTTTCTTTTCTTTTGCTTTAAAATTGAAATGAAAAATGTACTCGTATATATTGTTCTGATAACGTACATATTGTTCTGATAAACATAATATTACTACATGTAACATCTTTATATCTCTCTATTTAAGTAGAACTTACAATAATGAAATACGTCGAGAATTTTGATTCGGTTAACCGATTTATCGGTCGGAACGTCTTGCGGTTAACCGATTGGTAATTCTGCATTCGATTGCCACCCCTAATTGGAAGTGATCTTTCTTGAACGGGTGGAAAATATTAAGAATTAATTCAAACCTCCATTAATGTAACCAGTGGTAGCAGAATCCACACAGGCGTTTGTATTCAAATTGGTGGTGGTGGATCCAAAAATTGAAGTAACGACGGTGGTGGTGTCAATGTTGTAACAGGTGGTGAATAATCCAATATTAGCTTTGGCCACCGCAGTTACAGTTGCTGGCATACCACTTACAGTAGCTGAAGTAGTTGTGGTAAAAGCATAGTCAATCCAATATTCACCAAGCAAGCTTGCTACCCCGACTCCAAAGGAAACAGCCATGCAAACAACGCCCGACGCAATTAAGGCAATGATAATAATCTGTATTTTATCCATATTTTTGTGAATACTTTCGTTAGGGGTGAACACTAGTAGAATTTAAAAGAAACCAGATAAAAAGGATATGATACGAGAAACAATAATAGGAATACGTAGATGCTTGAAGTAGAGTCTATATCATCGAAACTGGTGTTATAAAGTTGGAACAATTGTTTTTAAATAGTATTATATTTTTCAATAAAAGAATCTATGGTGACATCCAATACACCTGTCATTATCCAGACTGTTCCTACAGTACTGTTGTACCACAGACAAAGGGATAAAGGTAATAATAGGTTAATATAGGATCAATGAGACCTCTCTGTTGACTTTTGCTTTTGTCATAGCATTTCATATCTTATCTACAAAACTGTGTATTTAATTTAAAAAAATATTTTGTTCGTATCTTTACATCCCTTTTAAGTAATAGGTTGAATTACTTGATCAATCCATAATTCCAATCCAATTTTGATACAATGTAATCAATTACATGTGTGTTTTCAAAATTCCCTAAATTTATCTTATCCAAAAGTTATAAACAGTTCACAAGTATACACGTGTACATTGAGTTAAATCATATTAAAATCGATGAAACCTTATTCAAGTTTAAATGTTCGTTATATTTTTATTCATTTATTTATCTTTTGCCAAAAGTTATCTAAAACAAGTAACAAAGGGATTCAGTAAACTAAAAGAAAAGCTGTACTTTAAAATTCTGAGTCGATTTTAACAGACACTGCCTTCTGGTCGTTTAGTGAGTAAATGAGGGATCGAGAAAAACAATGTCAAGCTGCCTTCCGTGAAGTTAAGTTCAAGAATATTTATCATTCAGTAAGACTTATTAATTGAATTGTTCTAAAAAAAAAAATCGTGTCTGCAACAAGAGGCCCAGGGGCCACATCGCTCACCTGAGCACTGTGGCTAGGAAAAAAAGAAAAATCAGTTTAGTATTGAAAAACTTAAATGCATAAGTGGTCCCAACCACAAAATTAAATCTACACTTACTAATGATGCTTACATAATTTTTTGACTAACTGTGACATTTTTCTCTACAAGTTTGAACTTTCATTGTGGCACCACCCTACCCCTAGAGGTCATGATTTGAACAAACTTGAATCTACACTAACTGAGGATGCTTCCATATAAATATGACAAACAGTGGCTTTGTAGATTTTTCCTATATATTCCTATGTAAAACTTTAATCATTCATTGTGGCCCCACCCTTCCCCTGGGGGTCATGATTTGAACAAACTTGAATCTTCACCACATGAGGATGCTTCCATATAAATATGAACAATTATGGCTTTGCTGTTCTTCATCAGAAGATTTTTAAAGATTTTTCCTATATATTCCTACGAAAAACTTTGATCGTCCATCGTGGCTCCACCCTACCCCTGGGGGTCATGATTTAAACGAGCTCGAATCTACACCACCTGAGGATGCTTTCACATAAATATTACCAATCATTGCTTTGCTGTTCTTGATAGGAAGATTTTTGAAGATTTTTCCTATATATTCCTATGTAAAACTTTGATCGTCCATTGTGGCCCCAACCTACCCCCGGGGGTCATGATTTGAACAAAATTGAATCTACGCTACCTGACAATAATTCCACATGAGTTTCATCTTTCCTGGCCCATTGGTTCTTGAGGAGAAGATTTTTCAATAATGCCATTTTTTATTTGCTATTTCGTAATTATCTCCCCTTGGAAGAGTGCGTGGCCCTATATTTGAACAAATTTGAATCCCCTTCACGCAAGGATACTTTGTGCCAAGTTTGATTGAAATTGTCCTAGTAGTTCTGGAGAAGAAGATGAAAATGTGAAAAGTTTACGACAACGCCAACGACAACGACGACAGACAACGGACTAATTTCGATCAGAAAAGCTCACTTAAGCCTTCGGCTCAGGTGAGCTAAAAAGGGAACTGTATTTCTATATTTTTAAGACAAAGGCATAATTTTTCCTACGTATTAAATCTGTAGAAGCTTATTAAAAAAAAACCCGAAAGAGGCTTCATCTTTAATAGAAAAATAGTCAAATACATGTACTTTTGCTAAAATCATAGATTAAAAAAAACCCACTCAGAGTGTACACTTTGTTTTGAAAATAGAAACATAATGTCTGATATGATTATAGAATACGCACAATGAAATGTACACAGATATACAATGTACAAGAGTTTTGTTTAAAATGTTGACAATGAACTCTCAATTTGACGAGGGTGCTATTGATGGATTTTCATGCAACATAGTTTGTGCACAATGAAGTAATCTTATTCTTTATTAATGATCAAAGCTAGACTTAATAAAAATAAAATACATACATATTAATTAATCTTTGAAGGAAAAAATTCTTCATGACCTTTTTATTTGACTTAATGATGCATACCTTTTTCATTTTCATGACAAAAGAAGACACACATTTGAATAAATAAAGTAATCTTAACCTCATTGTTAACCAAATCGACATAAATCATGAAACAACACTATTTGAATCTTCCCATCACAATTTGAATCAAAGATTGATCAAACTTGAGAACTTAAATTTATTGTCAATATTAGGCCATCGGTAAAACTACCGTTTTTTGACGTAGAATTTTCTTAAAACAATATATTCAATTGATAAAAAGTTTATATATTTAAAATATCACAGCATAAGTTAATAAATAATTGACACTAGAATATCACAGTAGGTTGCTACGAACAAGCACCTCACTTCTCGTCTGTCTGAGATTCTTTAACGTCGTCATGCGGAGTGATTTTCGTCACCTTTGTTTTAGAGGCATCGATGGCCGATTTAATGATGAGTGCTGCTGCAACTGAGTATGCTACTGTTGATACGAAAGCAAAAACAGTGGCAACATAGCCATAGACAGCTGTGTCTCCCAAGGACATTCCGGTAACCAGCGCATCATTAAGAATCAGAATGGCCGCCAAAATCATCACAGCTAAAAAAAAAATTAGTCCTTCCTATTATATGATTGGGTTTCACAAGTAAAAAGATAGATTTATGTTATTTGCTATTTCTATTTAAGAAAAAAGCAAACATTAAAGTATACACCTTTTAAACCAAATTACACAATTCTGTATTTTTTTAGCCATTCAGGTGACAGATTGCTTTCCCGTCGTCGCGGCGAATCATGCGTCATTTTTGACAAAATCAAGGTTATTAAAGTGAGAAATATGAAAAACTTTTGTTTATTTACTTCAGTTATTAAGAATAATTAAAGGCATATTGTCGACAAAATGAATTGATAATATTTTTTAAAAAAGTGGGTTACTTTAGCAAGGGAACTTGAAGATCTTGTATTCATTTGACATATAGGTGACTTGTATCTTCATGAGAATGATACTCCGGTGACCTATCAATGCCCGTGGGTCTCTATTTTGTTTTCGAGGCTACTTATTTATTTTTTTTATTCATTATGATTCAATTATTCACCGTTTGTTATAATAGATATACATGTACATGGAGATACGAGACTTTAAAATACTCAAAATATACTAGTATGTGATTTTCCAAAAATTATTTTACTTTTATCTTAACAACACAACTGTTTAGTTAAAAAATAAAATTAAAATTACAAGCATTCCATTACTAGTATCTAATTTTCTGTCTTTGTGTGTGTGTGTTTTGTTTTAACCTTCTATTGACCCTTTACAGTTTAATTCCTCATCAAACATTTACATTTAATGGATTATAATTCCAAACTTTTACATTTCTAATAAATTCATATTTACAGATATCAGCTATATTCGTAAGTACAAGAATCTGGAATATGAACTTACTAGATACTAGAGCTAAGACAGCTGGTGTCAGGGAAACGAAACAAACAGGTTTAGCGAGTTTGTTGAAGAAGACGAGAACTAAAATAGCGATTCCACTCAGTAGGGCCAAACCAATGAGGGCAGCTGCAGCCTTTCCCACTTCCTGTATCAGAGTAACCGTGTCTGTAACAAACAAAATACAAACCTTACATGCTTTTGATAAAAAAATATAATGAACACATCTTGAATTTCATTCATTATTTCGTTCAATGATGACTGAAAATGACACAGAAATTATCTGTAAGCATTCATGAACTCAAGGCACAATAAACTATTCTGTTAAAAATTGTCAACAACACAGTCAGACAGATAGAATTTATTTTCATTACACAGGGACGGAAGCAGATAAGGGGTGAAATGTGGTAAACTGCTCTCCCACGAAAGATTAGTTATTATACGTACTTTTAATCAAACTGAAAAAAAAACGTGACCATTGAAAAATGGTAGGGGCACAGATTGGCCCAAACATTTAACACACCAAAAATTTCTGACATCTGTTTTTTCACATTAATATGCAATTATCTTTGCGAAGCTCTTTGTTCAAATTATGACGATTTAGTCCTAGAAATTAGAGAGAATTAGAGACGTCACAATATACCAGTGAAGGGCTTCAAATTTAGTCCTTTACTCGGCACTTAGGGCCATTGAGCAGTGAGGGTTCTTTACCGTGCCAACGCCTACCGTGACACGGGGCCTCGGTTTTTAAGGTCTCATCCGAAAGACCTGCAACTTTCACTTCAAAGTGCCGAGAGCTTGGCGATGGATAAGTTACTATCTATTTTTTTATCGACTTAGGTCAGTCGCAGCCGTGATTCGAACACACGATCTTCCGATCATGGAGCGAGCGCTTAACCTACTGAGCTTCCTTGACGGTCGCAAGGAAGACTTTATCTCTTAAACACAATTGTGTGTGGGCGAATTTAAAATAGGGCAAAATTGTTTTTGCAAGTGTGAAGGGCAAAAATATCACGGAGCGAAAATAACCCCGTATACAGTATTTGATGGATTGTATGTATGTATAAAAATCTCAGATTCGTTCAAATCATGGTGTTCAACTCAATGATGAGACACAAAAAGGAGTGTCTGTATACTTGAATGTACATTCTATGGCAGCAAGCTAACATAATGAACTTTGTATAGTCTTTTTGATCTTTTTTATCACCACTACTTCATTTTATAGGGGTATATTTGGATATGATTCTGGCCTATTATCGTTTGTTTGTTTTTAAGGGTCCGTATTTCTGGCCTGTTTTCGTTTGTTTGTTTTCAGGGGTCCGTGTTTCTGGCCTGTTTCAGTTTGTTTGTTTTTCAGGGGTCCGTGTTTCTGGCCTATTATCGTTTGTTTGTTTTCAGGGGTCCGTGTGTTTGGCCTGTTTCAGTTTGTTTGTTTTCAGGGGTCCGTGTTTCTGGCCTATTATCGTTTGTTTGTTTTCAGGGGTCCGTGTTTCTGGCCTATTATCGTTTGTTTGTTTTCAGGGGTCCGTGTTTCTGGCCTATTATCGTTTGTTTGTTTTCATGGGTTCGTGTTTCTGGCCTATTATCGTTTGTATGCTTAATAGGAATGATGAGATTAATTCACCCTCTTTAGTGTTTTTAAAAATATAATAATAGCCTATAAAATTGCAATCACCAAAATCAAAATTATATAACCACTTGATGTTATTGGTGAAGATAATGAACAGTGATCAATCGATTTCATACATCCAGTGAACAAAACGAATCTTGAATAGGATCTCATTGTTTCCCCCAGTTACAGTTTATGGCCAGTGTATTTTTTACAAAGTTTATACGTTTTTACCGTAAATATGTAGGTCTTGATAATCAAATATCATCTAGGTCATTTTATTTTTCGTTTCTTTTCAACAAAGAGATTTAATATTCATCAAAAAGCCGTTATAATTTGCTTAACCTTTAGCTATTATCAGATCTCTCGCGATATACTTTTTTCTTCAAGAAAAGTAGGAGGATAGAGAGAATTTTCCATTTAATTAAAGAATTCCGATGAGGATTAAATACAGGTAAGAGTCAATATTTGAACATTAATTTTGAAAAAGAATTAGGCCGGCATTTAACATGCTCTTCGTGTTAATAGTCTTCAACATTTTTTTTTATCAGTTCCTCCAATATTAAAAACATTCTGACCAGTGACTGTTGAATGGAATCCTAAGGCAAATAAAATTAAGCAAGACATCTTAATGTCAAAAATTTCGGGACCAATCTTTGTTTCAAAGACTGTTCGTGAGGATTTACTCACTAATTTTGCAATACTTTAATAATAATAAAATCTTTATTATTGTATTATAATAATACATTGCTGCGGACAAATTTTTTCACCAAGTAAAGTAAAAAAAATTCAATATATGCCATTAAAAAACAATTAAGGTTTTCTTGGAATCAACGGTAGTTAATTTAATATGCTGGCATTAAAATTAAAATGTTCACATTGTCTTCAGTGCTCAGAAGCGACTGACGCCTGATTATTTATCTAACTGAATAGGGCATTTTAGGAACCTTCGTGAAATACTCTCTGTTTCAGTGCTATAAATACCTACGAATGACCTAGACAAATTGTTGTTTCCCTCTTTTTAAAATGAAAATGTCCTTTCTTATCCCCTTTAATGTTCAAAACCTATAATGACTATTCTGTATCTCACGTTTAATAGATGTATTATATATACTTAGAATTAAGTATTTCTGATTCATAAATAATGTAATATAATTTTTATCGAACATTTAGAAAAGACCAATATTTTAATTCATAATTCCAAAAAGCAAGATTTAAAAGACAAATTCCAATAAGGAAAAGAAAATGAATACAAACTTAAGTTTTGATTCTTAGAAAGATAGAAGTTGGATAGATGAGGGTATAATTCACAAACTTCTAAAATCTCCCATCTCCAAGGCTGAATGTAAGGGGAAAGGCGGACAAACCATAGCCAAATGTTCAGCATTTAAAAGTTAAAAATAAATTAAAAACTCAACAAATATTGCAAATGAAGGCGATCCTTATGCAGGCATTAGTTCCCAAAATTCAAGGAGTATGTTTATTGATCTCTGTAAAAAGTCCTAAGTATTTATTTAAGAATTCTGTGTCAAGGAATGGCACTTTTGTACAATAATGCACGATGTCAGATTATTTAGAATTTTAGGTACATAAAGGCACCACTTTAATTTTCTCAGATTCTCACTTTTCTCTGACATTTTATTTGGTTAAAAATGTTCTGTGTTTTATTTACAAATTTATGTTTAATGCGTGCTTAACTGCAAATAGTAAGGATTAACACCTGTCAGTGGTCTTTCATTGCTTTGGTTGATGCTTAACACGGGCATAACTGTTTCATAATTCAAATTGCTAAACAACAAAATGTTTGCTTTGACCACGCAGGAGATCACTAAAGTAAATATTTCATATCGAGACCTTTATGATTAATTTTGCTACAGTTTTCACTAAGAATTAGGTTATCATATTCTTCTTACAAAGGTTTTTAAGTTTTAACAATGCAAATAGATTAAACTGTATTTACAGAAAGCCTTAACATAATTCCTTCCACATGAACGTCTACACACTAAGGAAGTCAGCGACCCGTCTTGTACCATTTTGGCAATTGTCTCGATTGGCAATCTAAGTTATTAAAATGATTTTATTTTCTGAAATAGATTGTAATGCAAAAGAAAAACATAGATCTTTTTTTAGTTACCCATGCATATACATCTTTGACTATTAAATAAGAAGACGATTATTCTTTCAGCTATGAAGCTTTTTTCAGAGGCTAAGGTATTGGCAATTAAACATTTAAATTGACCGTCTGGATCACTCCATAAATTTAGAGACTGATTTAAAGTTGAGTGACGGACCTCTTTACACTTTGTAATCATAATGATTGCAACCCTTTGAAGAAGCCATACTACGTGTATCAAATACTTTATAGAAGGGTTTTTTGTATGAAAATTATTTTTGCATTTCTTTCCCATGAATACCCTAGAGCAAATGAGAACTATTTTGATGTTAAAAAAAACCCAATTTATTTTGGGATGAAATGCACTGGAAGCTATTGGCACTTCGTTATTTTCTTTAAAAGACAATAATAAGCAACTTTGCTTATTTTCAAATTCTTTTTTTCATCAGATTTTTGTCACATTCTAAGTTTATCAGTATTAATGTCGTTCATGTAAGATATAGGAAAAACTGGGTGGAAAAACTTATTACAAACTATACAGGCGTTTGATTGAAGACATCTGTAAAATATCGAATATTTCAAAACTAAATTTGGGATAAATTTGACCCTATTTAATAAATATTTTATAAACATTTTGGAGAAACTTCTGAAGTATTACTCCTTTAAGATATTAATAGCAATGAAGGAGAACCTTCAGGAGTACTGTACAGCAATATATCCTGGAAGTTGTGTTAATCAGATGTATATACTTAAAATGCCAAGGAACTTTTAGAAGACTTGAAATCACAAAATTGTACCAAAGTTAATAGCTTCAAAATAGATAACTTTTCTACAACCATTCATTACAAAAAAATTAAAGAGCAGGCTTTTTGACTTTACAGACAATTGCTTCTTCTTAAAAATGGAACTCGAAAATTTATGTACTTTGTCATTGGTCATCGTTGAAGAAACATTCTGATTCTACACACAAGTACTCCAAAGTTGATATTATTAGCAGACCAGGTTTTGTATTCATAGAGAGCAGATTTTATTCAAAAACGTATATATCGTATATATCGACGACGTTTTATCAATTAACAATTTTCATTTTCAATTCAACAATGACTCGATATATTCCTTTGAACTCGAAATAAAAGGCAACACAGAATCTGACACATTTGTTTCGTAATTGGATGTTTCACTAGAGAAAGATATAATGTCAAACTAACAAAGAAACGTAATGATAAACATGATGACTTCAACTTTTCCATCGTCAACTTTATGTAGCAATATACCATTATCGCCAGTATAATCAAGGTAGTAACATTTTCAAGTTGATTCGATATGCAATAGCACCTTCCAAGTTAAACGAGACAAGCTGATAAATAAGTTGATGAAACAAGGATATCAGCGCAGTCTCGTTTAAAGTACACTTTTCACAAATTCTATGATCGATACTATGACCTT